CCAGCAGTTGGCGTAATGGCTATGTCGCTGGACTCCCATGTAGTTGACGGCAGTTCAAGTCCCAGACTTGGTGGCTTAAACTCACGCCGGGCACGTGTGCGTGCGTGCCCCAAAAAAAAAAGAAAAAGAGTAGAGTCTGAGAGGGGGGCAGGAGATTGATTGATTGTTACCCTATTTAACAATAAAAAAGATAGTCCACCAGAAAGCAAATATCTAGTTTCTTATTCTCTTATTTATCACTTGTTGAGCTAATTTTGTCCCTTCTACCCTCCTAGCCAATTTCCTCACATGCATAATGAGTATAAATTAGATCGATATATTTACATTATGTTTCATAGAAAATAACTTTTTCAAAATAGTTAATAACAAAGAAAAGTTGATAAGGGGGACATTTCTCTTAACTTTTTTTTTTTTGTAATAAAAGCGAATCCTGAAAATAAATCTAATTTTGACTGATCTTTGCAATGGTCAGTTTATCCACAATGATTTTTTTTTTTTGTGCTTTGTGCTTTAATCCAATCACTACATTCTCAGTTACTCTCTTTTCAAATAAATTTGAGAAACGTTGGATGATTAACCTTGAAAATTCCCGCAACTCTAACAGTGATGACCGTTGACTCCAACAGACAGTCGGTGGTGAACCGAGTATTTGACAAGCTGTCCCCGCTGCACCAACGCATCTACTGCGCTCTCTCCGGCTCCGCAGCTGACGCCCAGGCTGTGGCCGACATGGCCGCCTACCAGCTGGAGCTCCATGGGTATGAAGTCCTGGGGTCCTGCCTCCACACCACTACAGTGCCCTCCGATCCCCGAACCCTGTAGAGTGTCCATTCCAGGAGCACTACCTTGGGAAATGAAAGAATCTTGTTTCCACTTCCGCTTTCCCTAGCTTGGGACTGGCACTCGACTCTCTCCTGCATCTATCAAGAGGGGATAATAGTTCCTGCTCTGGCTCACCATATGGTGCTTTTGAGAGTCACACGATATATGTGAAAGCAGTTTGAAAACTGTAGATCACTATCCTAATGTCATAACCACACAGAACTGACTATGTGACCCACCCTACTACCAGGCAGTCACTGTGCGAGAAATCAAGGTCGGTGAGATAGAAGCAAAGCTTATCTGCTTTACCCGGAGGGCAGGGCCCTGGCAGCCCGGAGTCATGTCACTGGGGATGGTGGGTGAGGCCGAATAAAAGAGGGTGAACAATTGAAAGCTTCTTGCCAATTGGTGGTGAGACTCTAGTTCTCCTGTATTGGAGGGAGGGAAGCTGGAGTTTGAACTGCTGCTGTATAGATTTCAGGTGTCCCTTGGCAGGGATGATAGTAATGGCACAGGAGGGTGGGACTGAAGAAAATGTCATCGACCCTTATTCCTAACATTTCCTTCAGGATAGAACTGGAAGAACCTCCACTTGTTCTGGCTGCTGCAACTGTGGTGAGGAACATCACCTACAAATATCGGGAGGACCTGTCTGCACATCTCATGGTAGCTGGCTGGGACAAACGTGAAGGGGGACAGGTGAGTCCCTCCCATGCACTCCCTTCCTTGAGATCCTCACTTCCCTACAGAGGGAGATGGAGGTCAGATGACATTCTAGCCCTGAGTTCCAAAGACACTGCCTCGAAAAGCATAGTACAGCCTCAACTCCTAGGGATCTGAGATCCTGGGGATTCCTTACATTGTCTCGGCGGGAAGGAGAGGCTTGATGATTCCTTAGTGTGACCCAAGGATGCCCGCTCCCCGTCCCCACCAGGTATATGGAACCCTGGGAGGAATGCTGACTCGACAGCCATTTGCCATCGGTGGCTCCGGCAGCACCTATATCTACGGCTATGTGGATGCAGCCTATAAACCAGGCATGTCCCCTGAGGAGTGCAGACGCTTCACCACAGACGGTAACTAACCAAGTGGAGGGATCCCTGGGGAGGAATGGGAAAGAAGGAGAGGCTGTGGAAGTAGAAGAGGAAATACACAAGTGACCATTAATTTAATGTCCAACTGGGACATTTTGAGAGTGAAAAGGAGCAGGACAAACGCTAAACTAGATGAGATTTTGGGACAGTAGTTATATCGCGACCATTCTGAGTAAACCAAATTAGAATACGATCACTATAAGAACAAGTGGTGTGCTGGGGTTGGCTTGGGCCAGCTCACCAGAGCTGACTGCTAAATGCACAAGGATTTGTGAGCTGCTTGGTAAGCTATTTGTAACTTTGCATTGATTATGGTTGGAGTATTTACACCAGGGGCATTGGCAGATGCTACATATGAAGGCTTTTTTTTTCTTTCTTTCTTTCTTTTTTTTAAGCCAGTTTGCCAGCATACCATATGTCATTTGCCTCTTTGGAGATGGGTTTTGAAGTCTGAAAGAAGTAGTAAGCATGGGGATAGGAGGGGAAAGAAAAGATTTTTGAAGCTAAGAGCCATTGTTTCTTTCTCTCTCCAACTTGAAACCCTCTGCAGCTATCGCACTGGCTATGAACCGGGATGGCTCTAGTGGCGGTGTCATTTCCCTGGTCACTATTACAGCTGCTGGTGTGGACCATCGTGTGATCTCGGGTGATGAGCTGCCAAAATTCTATGATGAGTGAATCTTCCTCAGACATTCCTATTTTGTAATAAACTCTCTCAAATCAGAACCCAGTATGGTCAATGGGAAATAGGTACAGGAGATGGAGCTTAGAGGAGGGAGCTCCTTCCAACCTGGAGGCCATCATACCCTTTTTATTCTTTAGTACCCCTGTCTAAAACATCTTTCACAGAAGAAGGGGGTGGGTAACTGTACTAGACCTAGAAGGAGCCCTAAACATGACAGATCATCACATACTGAGTGATTTTGAAATACAGTGTTTCAAGGAATAAAGGTGTCATGGTGGTTAAGATGCTGGACTCTCACATGGTAGACGGTGGTTCAAGTCCCAGATCCAGCAGCTTGAAACTCACACCAGGTAACCATGTGTGTATGGCCAAAATCCCAGGTGGAGAATGGAGGAGACGGGATTGCAGGGTGGCCATTCCCCCTGGAGTGTGATTTCTTACTTTCCTTTTCTCTGTCTCTCTCTGACTCATGTGAGGACATGAGTCAAAAACCTTTAATTTTTTTTTTTTTAATTTTCATTCCCAGTGATGAGAATGCAAGAGAGAAGTTGGGATTTATCCCTCTAAGGCTGAAATTGATAGGTAGATAAGAGAACTACCCAAATGAGAATTAGCTAAGAATACCAGCAAACCCACCTCACATATAGAAAGATTTATTTCATAATGTGCTTATTCACTTTAAAGATCAATACATTATGAATGCTTTGAGCATCACTCATGAATTGCAAAAAATAATAGCAATAATTTTTTAAATGCTACATTTATTGAAGCAGACATTGGCTAAGTGCTCTTTAAAATGTATCTCTTTTTTTTTTTATAGACCACAGATTAGTTTATTTTTAACACCCATCATGCCATGAATTCATAGGGAATAGGTTCCAGTAGCTCAGGCTCCTTTCCATTGGTTCTCACAAAGTGTGCTTCTCTCTTTGAACCAAACAAAAAACCCTATGTAGGCACCATTATTGCTTCAATGGAAGGTCAGATGAAGGATTAGAAAGATAAAGTCACTTGACTAAAGTCACACAGCAAGGTCAGAAAATAGGATCAGAAATTTAGTTTTCTCAGATGCCCTTCCTTTCCCACTACATAAAACTGTCCATTCCTTCAAGCTACTTATATCATCTCCTTCAAATCTACCCTAATTAGCCCAGCATTTTCACTGCCACTTAGGAAGTTGCTACCAGACTCCTAAGTAATAGTATTAAACAAAGCCGAGTCCTGGTCCTGTCTTTGTCATGTACTTCCTGAGTGACAGGACAAATTATTCCCCTTCTGGGAGTCTTCATTTCCTTTTTGTCAAAAGAAGGTGTCACGTGACTTCTAAGGTAGTTATGGCTCCAACTTTCAGTGCTGTTTTGCTAATAAGTAAGCAGTTAAGTGCTGTATTTGACGGAAATACGAGTCTGATCTCAGGCTACACAGACGGATTTAAAGTACTCTGAAATATTCATGTGCCTTGGGAGTGTGGGAAACATCTAAAATTCCAAGAGTCAGGAGCTGCTTTTAGCCACGATGTTTAACTTATTTTAAAATTTAAAATAATGATTTAAGCACTTACCTCTCACCCTGATTCTCACTGGTAACTTTGGACAGTACCTAGAAGCAAGTGCTTAAGAACTCTAAAACATAAACTAAAGCCGGTGGATTGTGAAGAGAGTCAGAACATGGAGAGGTGGTCCTCCTGGGGGCAGTTTTTAGATGTTTTCTTGCTTGCCTCTCACAGCTTTGTCCTGAAACCAGGCCTCAGGGGCACTGTGGTGGTGGTGGGTCACACAAGTGCTAAATCTCCTCAAGAAACACTAGCTTTCTGGCTAGAGGAACCAAGAATTGGGGCCCCTGCAGGCAAGATGGTGTAGGGGAAGTTCCAAAATGAGAGTGCCTGAGAAGGAAATTCCCTAAGTACACTCCTGAGTGACCCCAGAGTGGTGTGCGTATGTGACACACCCTAAAGGTACAATTAGGTAAAAATTAGGTAAAGATTAATAAGACTCTTTTTTTTTTTTTTTTAAGTTTTTGCTATAGAATTTGTGCACTTATGAAAGAGAGCGAGAGAAGGACGTGAGAAATCACTACCCAGAAGGGATGGCCACACCGCAATCCCTTCTCCTCCATATTTCCTTTGGGATCTTGGGCATGCGCACACAACCGGCATGTTTTGAAATCACTGGGTATGGGACTCAAATCACACAGTTAGCCATGTGGAATTAGCTGCCTTAACCACCATACCACCAATTTGTCCAAGATTCATTTTTTAAAAAGTCATTTAAAAAAAAAACCAAATGATATAGTTTCTCAAGTCACACAAAACATTTACATTTACTAAAATAAACTGTGTATTATTCCATAAATTCCACATGTTAATATCTCAGAAACTATGTTTCTAAAGAGCATGACAAAGACTGAGATCTGAACTAAGATGTTAACCTTTGGAAATTAGAAGGCTTACTTTTTCTTTATTGGTCAAATAATTGTTTTATGCCTCTCGTCCCAATAAAAGGTTGTAACAGCTTACAGAGGTAGATCACAATTTTAAAAAGGAGAGGAAATTGAGGCAAAGGGAAAATAAGATTCAGAAAACAAGTGTCCCAGCTGTGGTGTAGCATGCACTGGTCGACACTGCTCCTTGGTAGGTTGAGGCCACATGGGAGTCCCAGGTTGCTTCCCAGCCCATCCTAAACACCACAGGTGTCCCAGCTACTCGGAGGCTGAGGCAGGAGGATCACAGCGTAGTCAAACTCTGTCAAAAAATAAAATAAAAATAAAAGCCCAAAGGCAAAACTAATATACAATATGAATATCTTTAAAAAACAAATAAATAGTATGTTGAAATCTTATACCATAGCAAGAACAGATTGCAGAATATATAGGAATTTTGTAAGGGAGTTGTTAACCACTGATAACTTGAAATTGACCATGGTGGAAGTATTTATACTACAGAAATCAGTAATTCTAGAAGTCAGAACTTCTATTTATTTCTCCAGAGAGTTACTTTAATAGGCTATATTTTTAGAAGGCAGCCTATTAATGAATAAAAAACAATTGGTTCTGAGCCATAAGGTAGTAGAAACAAATAAGGAAAAAAAAAATAAGTATGGGGCAGGCAGGTGGCATGCTGGTTAAGGTGCTAGATTCCCACATGACCAACTTGTTCAAGTCCCAGACCTGGTGGCTTTCTTTCTCACTTTCCCTCTCTGTCTCTTTTTGGTCAAATTAAAAAATTATAATAAGTAAATAGAACAGATTGCAGAATATATAGGAATTTTGTAAGGGAGTTGTTAACCACTGATAACTTGAAATTGACCATGGTGGAAGTATTTATACTACAGAAATCAGTAATGCTACAAGTCAGAACTTCTATTTATTTCTCCAGAGAGTTACTTTAATAGGCTATATTTTTAGAAGGCAGCCTATTAATGAATAAAAAACAATTGGTTCTGAGCCATAAGGTAGTAAAAACAAATAAGGAAAAAAAAAATAAGTATGGGGCAGGCAGGTGGCATGCTGGTTAAGGTGCTAGATTCCCACATGACCAACTTGTTCAAGTCCCAGACCTGGTGGCTTTCTTTCTCACTTTCCCTCTCTGTCTCTTTTTGGTCAAATTAAAAAATTATAATAAGTAAATAATTTTTTTAATTTAAAAAGATATAAAATTTATTTTCTAAAAAGTAATTAAAAAACAAGTCCAAAGCATATCATTTTTCCAGTTACATGGCACATTTATTGAAATAGAATGTGTACTACTCCACCAATTCCGGAGTGTCAATATCTTAGAAACTATGTCCTGTACCCATACCCTAATAAAAGTAGAACTTGATAACAAAAAGAAACCTAAAATTCTCACAGTTTATAAACTAACAAAATTTTAATCAATAATATGGGTTCCAAAAGCTAAGGTGCTGTGCTTCATGGGCTAGAACCGCATAGCAGATTCCGGTTCGATTCCTAGTCCAATGTATTGGACACATACAATAGCGTGTGCTTGAAATCCCACCACCTGGGTGACTGAGGCAGGAGGATTCTGAGCTCACTGCTGGCGTAAGCAGCATAGAAAGGCACTGCCTTAAAAAAGAGCCAGGCAAGGGGCTAGCAGGTGGCATGGTGGTTGGGGTACTGGACTCCCACATAGCTGACGTGGTTCAAATCAGAAGAGCATGAAACTGGTGAGGGACTTCATGCTGCATCATCCCATGGTGGAAGGGCTAAGCACACGGGATGGAGAGAACAAGTGAATCTAGGGTCAGTATGATGCAGGGCTAAATCTACATCAGAGAAGCCCGGGTTTGCATTCCAGGACCTCCCTGAGCATACCAGGTGCACGTACTTGCCCGTGACCTGGATCAGTGAGACTGGGAGTGGATTGTGGCATGAGTGCTCTGTTAGGGGCACTTGTCTTTGTCTCTCTCTCTGTCTGTCTCTCTCTCATGGAAGAAATAAATAGATAAAAATAAAGAAGAAAAAGGGGCTCAAATTTACCCTTTTTTTTTAAATCAGAAACCCACTCCCATAATAACCAA